CCAGGGATCATTAGAAAGAGGCAGTACCTAGTTGGATGGGCCAAAAGGGAGGGGTCCAGAAAAGGGGACAGGAGACAGCCAGACTGTCCAACCAGCCCTGGAGCCACCGCTCCAGCCTGGAGGCTGGAAGAATCCACGCAGCGGGCAGTGGACCAGGCTCCAGGCCCAAGCAGTACCTCTGCACCATGTCCTGTGGCCTGAGGGTCTCCCCCCAGCTCCTCCAGGAAAGGCTCCAAGACCTTTGAACTGGTCAGGCCCTGGGCTTCGTGCTGGGCCTGGGGAGGCAAATATTTGGGCAGCCGGTGGCTGTGTTTGGGGCTCTCTGTCCTCCCTGCTGGATCAGCATGTGCCAGGGGTGCCCAGCTGGGAGGGTAGCGCCCAAACCACGCGTAGGCGGTGGGCGGACGCGAAGGCCGCAGATCCCAGGCGCCTGCAGCGGAAGCCCCTGGCCGAGGACGGAAAATGCCACTCGGGCCGCACAATCCATCCTGTTGTAATCCCCAGAGTTGGCGTCACTGGGGCCTGTCCAAAAACTGTGTCGTGCAGGGGCTGAACTCATACTTGTGTGTCTGCCACGGGAGCAGGGGGAGTTGGTGGGGGCCGCAGAGGCCCATAAAAACAACCCCAAACGTTTCATTTGCTTTCTTGCTTTTTTGTTACAGACCACTTGGCTGCCTGTGCCAGCTGGGAGCCGGGGCCCAGCAAGAGCGCAGAGTTATGGGGCAGCGCTAAGTGCTCTGTTTGTAGGAAACTGCCAAAATGTTAGGACAAAGTGGTAGGTGTTTGTGCTGCAGATAATAACTGATGGGCTCCGGGGCGGGGAGGCGGGCGCCTTGTTATTATGGCCGCGGCTCTTCTGAGAAACGCTGCAGCAGCCTCGGGAGAGCGGCGATATTTTTCTGAGCACACAGGGCCGGGCCTGGCAGTTAATGGGCACGCCGGGGCCTCATGAATCAGTCCCGAGAGAGAGGTGGAGGCCAGCGGCTGGTGTTTATCTGATTCTTAGGGTTTGCCCTCGCTGGCCAAAAAAGCCCATTCCTCAGAACGTTCCAGAACCCACTGTGCTGTGGAAGGAACAGAGGCCTGGTGGAAATGCCAAGTGCCTGGGTGTCCCGCCTTGGGGAACCCGAGGAAGCCGTCATCTGGAAGGGCTCAGAGGCTGGGGCCCAGGGGTTGGTTTGGGCTCTGCAGGGAGAGACTGTCTTCCTGAGGGTCTTCTGGAAAGGAGTGAGACCTGACTTGCGGTGTCTGGGGGGCAGAGCACTGCTGTTCCTGGAGCTGGGTCCCACTGTGTCACTTCTGAGTTTCTGAAGGAGGGAATGTGCCACCCCACGGTAGCCTGAGGTCCTAAGGTGCCAAGCAGCGTCGCCCCTCACTCTGTCTGAACGTGTGTGTTTGTGCGCGAGTGCCCCCCTCCCACCACACACACTTTGTTCAGCTTATCCCTAGGGGTGGGAACAAGCATTTGTGCAGTCTGCTAGAGTTTGATTGATGGAGTCGTTGATTTTACTGAGTGCCTACTGCTGGCCAGGTTCTTATCTGGACGTTGAGGGTACAGTGGTGCGTGAAACCAGAAAAGCGCCCCTGTCCTCACTGAGCCTCCATGGTAGTAGTGCATCACAATGAACAAAACGCAGCTCGAGGCACGGATAGCTAACACATCACAGAGGAGGAAAGCTAAGGGGAACAATGAAATGGGGTGAAGGACTGATCGCCGCGGAGTCCTGGGGCCCGGGAGGTAGCGAGGCGGGGGCCGGAGCGGCGGCCGCCAGGGCCAAGGTCCCTGCAGCCCGTGAGGTTCAGTCACGGCAGGAGAGGAGCAAAGGCAGGTCACCTTTGTCCAGTGCGCGTGCTGGAGACAATGCTGGTGTGTCACTACCACAATGTGAAGCCACGCGGGGTGGTCCCCACTAGGCCCTTGAAGCAGAGGAGGAAGTTGAGGCTCAGAGGCCCTGCTGGAGGGCACGAAGGGCTGGGATGGGCCCCGAGGCCCGCCCAACTCTAGGCCAGGCCCACTCCGCTCTGAGTTTGCTCTGAGCCGTGGCGGTGAAGCCCGCTCCTGAGGGAGCCAGACCGAATTGGCTTTGAATCCTGCCACCCACCCCTCACCGGCCCTGTGATTTGCAGCGTTATTTCACTTCTTGTAGCTTCAGTTCCCTCATTCTCCATAGGGATTTTATGAACAATAAATAAGAAATTTCTCTCTATAAAATATACATAAAGCCCTTAACATGATGCCTGGCACAAGGGGCCCCCTGTAAGTGGCTAAACTAATATTGGCATTCTTATTTTCTCCCACGCGCGAGGGCCCGGTGCCAGAGGCTGCCTTTGGCCCTTGTCCCTGAGCAGTCAGTCTTCAACAGGGCTCCGCAGCTCTCTGTGAGGGGCTCCTGCGCCCCCGGTGGCGTCTGCCAGGGCACACGCCTTGCCAGCTCCAGTCTCCTAGCGCCCTGAATCTGCCAGCAATGCTGATGGTGCAGGCCCTCAGGGAGGGCTGGGGCTTCTTGAACCCCAGCTCTGAGCTTTGGGTTCTATTCCCAGTGGCTCAGCCATTGCCTCCATGGACAAAGAAGTGTGCAATGGCGAAGACTAGGGAAGGGTGCTGGTACTCACTTCTGCTCCCAGTGGGTGACGGGTGGGGTGACTGAGGGCAGGACCGTCAGGGGCTGGGCGTCCAGCTGGGCAGACATGCCTATGGCTATGAGCAGGTCCTCCCTTTGCTGATGCTGTGTTGAGCCTGCCTCTGCCTTTAGCAACTATCTCAGGCCTCTCCTCTGAGAGCAGGAAGGAGGTGTTTCCCATTGTACTGGAGTTCACCTGTGTGAGGCCTGGTCCTTTTGCTGAATTCCCTAACATAGTGTCTCCAAACAGAGCCTTTAAAAGTCACTGCAAATTCAAAATGCATGCCAAGCAAGACCAAGCTAGAGAGTCCCTTTAACCGCCACCCCCCCCGCCTCCAATTTTCTCATTCCCCTGAAGTGTGGAAAGAGAGGGATGGTGTGTGTAGAAGAGACTGGAAATTATCCTCCAATGTCTGTCCCCCTTTCTCAATATTTGTAGGATTTTAAACTGGATACATGGCTGCTCGGCTAAAGACTAGGTACCTCATATCCTAGCCTCCACTGTAGCTAGGTTCTGTCATGCAACTAAGTTCTGCCCAATAGGTTGGAGGGAGGGGATTGTGTCCTTAAGAAGGAAGGGTGAGCCTTGTCCCTCCAACCTGTTTCATGCAACCCAGCGGTGGTGGCAGCCATTTGGACCATATGATGAGAGTAACACCCAAGGGATGGCAGAGCAACAGATGGGAGAATCCTGGCCACTGATGTTATGGAGGCATGACATCAAGCCCAGGTTGCTTGTTACATAAGAGAGAAATACAGTTCTTATTTAAAGTACTGTTAGTTGGAGGTTTCATTACAGTAGCTGAGCCTCTATCCTGCTTAAGACAGGTAGGATTTATGGGTCCCCTGGCCATCCCCAATGTGCTAATGTTCAAGAACAGTTGCTGAGCCAGAGAACAGACCTGACTTTTGCAATGAAAAATACTAATGCTGCCAGGAAGCATCCCCTTCCCTCGCTGCCAGCCCATCTCTCTACATCTAGCACTTCACGGAAGCTGCTGGGGGTGCCTTGCAGATGAGGCTCAGAACAGTGATTTGCTCAGGATCACATGTGGGTGAGTGACTGACAGAGACAAAACCAGAGCTCAGAGTGTCTGATTCCTAATCTGTCCTCTTTCTCCTACAGCAAAGCTTCCTGTCCATCTATAAATCTATAAATAATGTGTGAAGTATGTGTGTGTGCGTGTGTGTGGTGTAGGGAGGGGGGAGCTATAATCCTGCTCCAGCCTTTAAATGGGGACATCAAAGCAGCAGGCTGGGGGCGGGCTCCTTCCAGGGACAGCTGAAGGAATTGCACTCCCCGAACCCAGCCTGCTGCCCTTTGCCCTCTGGCCTCAGTCTCTGCCCTCTGGGGCTTCTCAGAACAAGACTGTCCCTTGGTCCCCAAGACACCTTCAGGAGCCGGTTTTCCCACAGGGAGCTGGCAGTACGATTGTGCAGGGAGCATGTCGAGGCCCACTACGGTGGCTGGGGCCCCCAGAGATGAGAAGATGGCCAAAGTAATCCAGGAGGCCAGTTCTGGCTTCTTCACCTGCAAATTGGCATTGATACTCTCCACTTCACTGGATTTCTGTGAGAATTAAGGCATAATGCATGTCAGGGTGCTTTGTAAAGTAAGTGCTGTCCAAGTGCTCATGAAGTTAGTTTATAAGACTAGAAAATCAGGGGCTTGTCTGGTTCATAGTGGACTCAGAAAAGTGGACGTAATTGATGTGTAACTACAAAGGGCGTGGCCCCCTCCAAGTGTCCTGGCTGCTTTCTGTGTCTGGGCCGTGGCATTTAAGGGGGCTAGGATGCAGGTGGGAACTTGGAGCCTTCAGCTTGCTAGGTGACCTTGAATGAGTCATTTAACTTCTCTTTGTCTTTATTTTCTCATCTGCAAGAATCAACTGACAGTAGAGCTACTCTGAGAGGATCATTGTTTAAAAAAATCTGTTAGAATGCTTAATTCTGTTTATATATTTTCTAAGTTGTTGGAGTAAGGTTTTCCTTATTCCTGTTTTGGATTTTTGTATCTCTTTTCATGAGTGAGATTGGCCAGAAATTGTCTTTTTTTCCTCCTATTCTTTTGTGGTTTTGGTAATAATATTATACTTCAGAGAATGAGTCTGGGCGTGTGGCAGAATGCTGGATGAAACTCCAACTCTGAACTCTACATTTTCCTGGACACGACTGTAAAGCCAGACACTACATTTTCAGCCTCTGTTGGGCTGAGTGTGGCCTATCCATGTGATTAAATTAGCACCAATGCAATGTGAGTTTAAAATAAAATTGCTTGTCCTGGACTCTTTCTCTTTCTGCAAGCTGGCAGACAAACATGCCTATGGCCAGGCTTCAGCTGGGGAGATGAGGACACCATCCTGAGGGATGATCAGGCATCAGGATGGAACAGCCTGCAGTCCTTGATTTCCCTGGTAAAGCAGACTGTCTAGCCAGCCTGGTGGTGGTGGTTTTGATTGTTTGGTTATCTTTTTGTTATTGATTTACACCTTAGTTGCATAATAAAAATGTGTTTGAAATGGGTTGAGAACCACTTTATGGCTTAATATGTGGTTGGTTTTTGTAAATGTTTTCATTATGTGCTTCAAAACATGTGTCCCAACTATTTCCTGGATATAGAATTTTAACTAAGATAATTGATGAAGTTATCCAAATGTCTGTATCTTTCCCAAATTTTGGTCTGCTTGATCTGTCAACAGTTAAGAAGATAGGTTGAATTCTCCCACTATGAAGATAATTTTTTAATTTTCTTCTTATATTTCTAATAAGTTTAAAGGTCTCTCATCAAGGGAATATAAGTTAATAGGCTTTATAACATCCTGGAGAGTGAACTTGTTATATGGTATTGACTCCATTGCTTTCTGTCTTAAAGTATAGTTTGATTTCAATATAGCTACCCCAAATTTATTCAGTTAAACATGATCTGGTATACTTTTTTCCATCTTTTTTACTCTCCAATACCTTTTTGTGTCTTTATGGTTTTGATCAATCTGTTTTAAATAGCATATATTTATATTTTTTATCAAATCTGCTAAGCTTTATATTTTAATAGGTGATTTTAGTCCTTTTATGTTTGTTGTGATTGTTGTTATATTTGTATTTGTCTCTTGTTTCTCTTTGCCTGTCTTCTCTGTATCTCTTTCTCCTGCTTTATTTTTATTGCTTTTTTATGGTTATTTTTGGTTTAACATTTAAAATTCTTTTTTACATCTGCATTTTATGTCGAACATTTAATTTCTAGTCTTTTAGTTTTTACATTTGTTTTTTACCTTTTGCGCTTAACATCATTAAACAATATCTGAACATTTCTCCTCAACAGTCTGAGAAACAACACAAGAATATTAAATACTTTAATATACTCACCCTTCTCCTGCCTGACATGACATTGTAATTGAATACTTTAGGTCTGTCCATTTTTAGCCTCATAAATAGTATATTCTTATATTGTTATTGGTGTTGTGATTATTATATTTTCCATAGAAACAAGGTCTGGTTTGTGTCTGCCTACATGTTTACCATTTTTTTTTTGTTCTTTGCCATACTTCTTCAAAGGTCATGTTTCTTCTTCCTGAAGTTCATTATTTAGAAGTTTTTAAAGAGAAGTTGAAGTGTTTGTAAACCTAGTTTTGATGGTCTTGTTTTACTTTCTTCTGTTACTGTTGAGAATTTTGCTGTCGCTGTAATCGTCAGTCCTTTGGGGTGACCTGCCTTGACTCTCTTACTGCTTTTAAGATCTTCTCTCTCATTAGTTTTTCCGCATGCTTACTGGAACATTATCAGTGTGGATTTGTTTATTTAGCCTTATTTAGTATATTTATGTTTCTGCATATTCATGACTTGTCATCAGTTCTGGAAATCCTCTCAGCCATCACTTCTCTGAATATTGGCTCCCTTTCATTCCTGTTGCTCCTTCTCCTATGTTCCATCTTCCCGTCTGAATTGTATTCTCATAAATTTCTTCGGCTCTAGCTTCCAGATCACCAATTCCCTATTCAATTGTATTTAATCAGCTGTTTAACCCAAACACTAAATTTTTAACTTCAATAGTTTAATTTTCATTTCTAAAAGTTCTGTGTTACCCATTTTCACAGTTGCCTGCCTATTTTTACTCATTTCTTGGTCCTTGTATACATTTAGCTCCATATTTCAGTTCTTTCTTCATTTAGTATAGGGTTATTTTATAATCTGTATATTACAAGCCCAGTGTCAAAAGCTTTGGAAGATCTAAATTCACTTGTCATTCTGCTGTCCTTCACCCATTTTATTATATATATGTTTGTAATTTCTATAGAAAGCTCTTTTTGAATTGAACTTGTCTGAAAACCAAGTCAGACCTAGATTGGGAGGTTAATTTTTCAGAGGTGGTTGATATACACGTCTGCTGAGAGCCAAGGAGCTTCAGAGACCTGGAGTCACTTTAGCCCCTTCAAAGGCCCCTTGTTAAAGTCAGAGTTTTGGGCTCAGGTCTCTGACCTTGCCTTCAACACAGGGCTTAGTCTTCTTATCATGGTGTGGACATTTGCCCTCAAGGAAACCCTGGCTTTTACCAGTGAGCTGTAATTTTCTGATCTTTCTTGCTCTTTTCTTAACTCCATGTTTGGCCGTGAAAATTTCCTGGACTTTCCAGGGAGCCCAGCGATGCATTAAGGATTTTGTTTGTTGAGATTAGTGCAGGATCCAGGGGGAGGGCTTTTCAGAGTCTATTGGGACCTCACTGCCGGGCAGAGAAGCAGCCCAACAATTCTGCACTGTCACTGAGCCCTTTGGTGTAGACGTGCGGGGCATGCTGGCCAGGGCATTTGGAGCTGCATGGCTGGGAACAGGGTGGGGTCCGAGGGTGCTGGGTGCTGCAGACATGGGCCTTAGCTGAATGGACAGAGGCACTACCTGGGTGAAATGAGCACTAAGGGAGGGATTAGATGCCGGGCCTGAAAGCAGGGGGAGGAGCCAAAAGAAGGACATGCCACAGGTTTGGTTTCCCTGGAACTGGGTGAAAATAGAAAGTCTTTGAGGCAATGGGGGTCGTTTCTCATGGGGATCAGCTTACGGCACAAGGCTGGGGCGCAACATTGGTTTAAAGAGGCAGGAACCAGCCATGCAAATGTGCCTCTATGGATACAAAGGAGACCAGCAGAGCACCTTTCCATTGGGCATTTGATTAGCCTGTGGGCACCCCTAAGCAGTGCAATAGAATTTCAGAAGAGACTAAGGTCAGTGTGGGCCAGACAAGGTGGACCAGGCTTTTGTCCCTGTACACCTTGGTGCCATCTCTTGCCTCTACCTATGATAATGTCTTCTCCATTTCTACCCTGATGGACTCCTACACATCTTTCGTGGCCCAGCTTTATGGCCACCCGTCAGGGAAGCCCTCTCTGACTGCCCCAGGGGTGACTCCCACAGCACTGGCTACCACCAGTGCATAAGTCTCTTCTCTACTTATCACAGTGGTTACAAAGTATCTCCCACTCTGCCAGCTCATCACCGGTCTCTGGGGAAGAAACCAACCCTTTGTGTCCCAGCCTGGCCGTGTGACCTGGGGTCACAGGTGTGGACTCTGCCCTTGGAGGCCAGCCCCTCTGTTCACTGCTGGGTCACCTTGGCACACTTTCTTAATACCTCCTGGTGTATCTCAGTTTCCTCATCTGAAATTGGACACAAAATAATACTTCCTCAAAGCATTGCCACAAAAGTTATAGAATTAACCCTTGTCAGGCACATGGGGCCCTACAGCCCCTAAGAGGTGCTCCACCCGCGCCGAACGTCGTCATCCTGCGTCAGCACTGAATTGGGGACGCACATCTCTGGCTGGGATTTCCCAGTTACGTGAAGCTGAAACCCACTCGATGTAGTTTCAGTTGAAGGAGAGGCTCTCAGGAAGGAGAGCGGGGCTTGCAGGGCACAGAGGTGCAGGGTCTGCCACCCCCTCCATGGGTGTCTTCTCTCATCTTCAGTTTCCTGTTTATACCTCACTCTCCTCTCTCATCACTACTTGTTCCTGCTGCTCACAGCTGGGGCCACGTGTGCCCCTGGTGTGATCGGCAACGCTGGCAGGTGCTAGAGCCTCACAGCCTGCCCTTGCAGCCAGTGGACAGTGTCCCAAATCCAAATCCTCAGGGAAACGTTCTGATTGTCCCAGCTTGGTGAGGAGCAGCTCCGCACCAGTGAGCTGATGCCTGGGAGAAGAGGGCCATGTTCACCTGGGACTCAAATAGCACAGGGAGGTGGGAGGACAGAAGAGGCCCAGAGCCAGGACACCCCCACCACCCTGGGGAGAGGACAGTGGAGAACAAAGCACCATGTCTGCTCTATCCCCAGGCCTCTGGGAGCAGCCTGTGGGAGCTGGGACCTGGGAGGCAGCTTGGGTGGACTCACGTCAGGCAGGAAACCCCAGTCCCTTTTGTTGAGGCAGGGTCCCACCATGGCCTTTCCGGAGCCCACCTGTCCCCACCTCTGGCTTTAGGTCTGGGAAAACGCTAGTTCCCTCAGAGGGACAACCACACAGCGTGTGTGAGCAGCTGTGGTGGCAGCTCCATGACTTGTCACGGAAGCAACATCCCTGACACTGCCACAGCCAGAGGCTGCCCTGATGCCAGTGGCGTCATTGGCGTCCCCCTGAGCCTCTGGCATCCAAGCTGCTGGAGATGCTGACCTGGCCAGCCCCGGCTCTGGGCCCCACTCCCTCAGCACTCCCGCCTCTTCAGATCCAATTCCTGTTTATGGGAGGCTGCCCTGGGCATGCACTGCCTGAGGTTCAGACATTAACCGGCAGTGTTTATGGCAGTGATGATGATTTCCGTCATTCAGAAGAGCAAAGTGAGAACCGGAAAGTGAAGGGGCTGCCTGAGGTCACAGAGCTCATAAGTGGCAGAACTGTGATTTGGACACCATCTCATAAACACAAGTTCTGTGCTTTATCCCACGCTGCCGCTGATGGGTGAGGACCGGAGGCCACCTGCTCTTCGTGATCACCTTTTTCAGTTCATTCATTAAACAGAACATGTTTACTGAGCACATAATGTGTGTTAGACCTCAGACATAGGCATTGTGCTAGATACAAAGGTAAATCAAATACGTCTTGCCCTCAAATAGCTCACATCTATTCATCGCCAAGATTGCAAAGGAAATGCATAAAAGCCATAACAAAAGAGCGAGCCTTTGAGAAGAACTGAGTGCTCATCCACACAAAATAAACTGAAACAAACCAGTTCCTTCTTCAGTGGCTCTGTGATGCCCAGGATCAAGTCCAGACTCCCTTCCAAGGCTCTCAAGCCCCTCAAGGTCTGGCGCCACCTCCCTCTCCAGTCTCATCTTCTGTCACTCTCCTTCCTTGTCCCAGCCATCCCACACTACTGCTAGTTCCATCAAGGTGACTACCTGCTCTCTTTTCTTTGCTTCAGCTCCTGCTGCTGCGTGGAATGCCTTTTGTCTCCTTCCTTCCCTTACAAACTTCCGTTCTTTCCTCAGAGACCTCAGCCACAGCTTTGTCTGTGAAGACACCATCGCCATTGCCTTGTAGAGGCAGAAAACCTCTCCCTTCTCTGATCCTATTCATACCCTACACAGTGAGTTGTGTGGGTGAAAATGGAGGACTCCAAAAGATATGTCCACCCAGCGTCTGGGACTGTGAATTTATTTTGAAAAAGGGTCTTTGAAGATGAAATCTCACTAAAGGTCTTGAAGTGGTATCATTCTGGATTAGGGCGGGCCCTAAATTCAGTGACAACTGTCTTCGTAAGAGAAAAAGTAAGGAAGAGTTGACACAGACTCAGAGCGTATGGCCACGTGAAGATGGAGACAGAGACTGGAGTGGTGTGTCTACAAGCCAAAGAATGCCGAGGATTGCCACTAGCTCACAGAGAGAAGCCACCAAGAGCTAGGAGAGGGACATGGAATGGATTCTTTCTCAGAACTTCTCGAAGGAATCAACCCTACATATATCAGGATTTCCAACTCTGGCATCCAGAACTGTGAGAAAATGGCATCTCTGTTGTTTCAAGCCACCCAGTGTGTGGTAATTTACTGGGCCAGCCATAGAAAACCAGTAAGCATTATCTGCACAACACTGAACACATGTGTTCCCAGACCTGCCCCATCCGCTGAGCTGTGAGCAGGATCCGAGTCACCTCCATTACCACGTTCCCAGCTCAGCGATCCATGACACACATATAGTTGGTGCTTTATATATGCTTGTTGACTTGAACTAGCAATGGAAATTAATCTATTAGAAGGAATCTTAAAGGAATCGGCTTTATGGAGTCAAACTTGGCCTAATACTAAGTGAAATGTGGCCTGTTAGCATTGGCCTGCAGGGACAAATTTAGATTTGGTGGATCAATCAATAAATCGTCCAATGTCTCTGGCTCTGAGTCCACATCCAGGCAGATGTGTGATGCCTGTTTGCTCCTCACTAAAGGATTTCAAGTAGAACAATGTCCATTTAAGAAAGGAGTAAGTGGGTCTCACAGAAGCCATTTTTCCATGCGTTGCCCACTTGTCAGAGGTAAGGTAAGGATGCTCTTTCGAGCATTTACACAGAGAAATGGTTCCAGCAGTAGGCTGAGGGCAGCAGAGGCTCTCCGCAGGCACCGGCATTTGGGGGATGCCGTTGTGCCCTGTCATTCCTTCACCCCTCTCCTGTTAAATGGCCCTTGGAATGTCCTTTGGGAAATACCATCTCATCAACTTTCAGCCCTTTGGGGGTGGGGTTAACACCACCTCCTGGCATTCTTGAGGCTGCAGGGACTGGTTCAGGGATGGGCATATGAGTCTCACAGAGCCAATGAGATAACAGACACTTTTGCTGAGGATTCTGGAGCAAAGATATGTGCTTCTCCCCTTTGGCTATAAACCTGGCTGCCTGTAGGTCAGAGCTGTGGCCCAGGTTGCTGCCATGGTCTAAGAAGATGAGGCCGATACACTGAGTGAAACGAGTCCTGCCGCAATGGCTTGCGCGCCAGTCAAGTTGCAGTCGAAACTACTCCCTGACTTCTCAGTTTTTCAAGCCATTTAACTCCCTTACCTTACTCTGGCTTGCGTTGGAGTTTCTTCCATCTATAACCAATAGAGTCCTAACCATTATAAGAGTGATGTGGTGGGTCCAGTTACTCCAAAATCCAGGGGTATGAAATAGCTTCATATGGGAAATAGTGTAGGCTTTATAGCTGGGGAGACTTGCATCAAAATTGCAGCTCTATCAATCAGCTGTGTGACCCTGAGGAAAATACTTAATTTTTCCAAGCTTCAGTTTTCTCATCTATGACATGGAGGTAGTGCCTGACTTTGGGGTATATGAAGACTAGAGATAGTATATGCAAATCACTTAGCATGGTGGCCCACCAAACATACCTTCCATGCATGGTCCCTTAAGGGGAGCACCTCTACTTTCTTTTTCTTTCTTTTTTTTTTTTCTTTTTGAGAGAGGGAGGGAGGGAAAGAGAGAGATTGATTTGTTATTCCACTTATTTATGTATTCACTGGATGATTATTGCATGTATGTGCCCTGAGGAGGGATTGAACCTGCAACCTTGGCGTATAGGGATGACGCTCTAACCAACTGAACTACCTGGCCAGGGCTGGCAGAACCCCCTTCTTTGCCTGCTCTGGCAATACCAGCTATTTTCTGGGCTTTAGAGTGGTCGTCAGAGACAGCTCTACATTTTTTCATTCGAGACATACCACATTGTTTTTATTAAGTTGTTTACTTTTTATGATTAAGAGTAATAAATGTTCATTGAAGAAAATGAGAACATATAGAAAAAGAAAGAAGAAAAATCACCCATAGTCCTATGATTAAGAGTTAACCGTTATTACTATATTCAATACTTTGTTTATAACACACATTTTTGTCTTGACAAAGGTTACACCTTGCACATTCCTTTGGTATGTGGTCTTCAGAGGTTATTGAGGTGGTTGTGGATAAATCTGCATAAAGATCACAGAGCTTCTTGGGAGAGGAAGAGAGGATGGAAATCTTCCCTTGTTCCATTGGAGAGCTGCTGCAGATGAAGAGCCTGAGGTTCATGGGCAGGGAAAGGACTCTCCAGTGTGTTCTGCTGCAAGTAACAGCAACTCAAACCAGCAGTAACTTAGCAAAATAAGAAGAGGAGGAAGAGAAATTGCTATTTCCCTCTCCTATACAAGCCTGGAGGTGAGCAATGCATGATTGATAAACTATTTCTGCTCCTCTTATGCCCCAGCCAGCTCATGCTTTTCCATCCCTAGAATATGGCTCTCATTTCAATAATCCAAGATGGAAACCAGAGCTCTAGACAGCTTGTCCACATTCCAGGCAGCAGGAGGGACTAATGAATAAAAAGGGGGAACAGTCCACCCTAACTACCTTTAAAAGAGGGTTTAAGGAAGTTGTTGCCCTTCTGTTTACATCCTATTGTCCAGAGCTTAGTTTCAGGGCCAGTGGAGCATGAGAAATGTAGCCTTTATTCAGGATACTAAAATAGAGAGGTTATGGCACTATGGAGAAAGGGATAGCTTGAGGGGAAATGCCCCACAGCGGTAAGGGTATGTCTGCACTGTGGCCCTGGCTCCACATTGGATCCCATACGACCCTGGGGGTAGATGGATGGTATATGGTGTGAGGCTGGATCAGAAGCCCGGCCCCAAAAGTGTTCTCTGAGATTATTGGTTCCGAAAGTAAAAAGCTCAGGCTCAAGTGGGTGCCAACTACAAGTAAGAGGTCCACTGTTTCCATCTTTCCCTCTTCTTTTTTTAAAAAGATTTTATTTATTTATTTTTAGAGAAAGGGAGGGAGAAAGAGAGGGAGAGAGACATCAGTGTATGATTGCCTCTCAAGTGCCCCCAACTGGTGATCCCACCCACAACCTGGGCATGTGCCCCAACTGAGAATTGAACTGTCGATTCTTTAGTTCATAGACTGTCACTCAATCCACTGAGCCGCACTAACCAGGGCTCATCTTTCCTTCTTCTTAGTGCCTTCTATCTAAGGTGCATCACAGCCATGGACAAGGCAGTGTATGTCTGTGTGAGACCCTGTAAAACTGCCTATTTCTGGAAGCACAGATGCCTGGGTCTCCATCTGTTTTCTCCTGGGTGGCTCTGGGGCTGTGCATGGCTAAGCAGCGATGCTGAGCAGAGCTGCATAGGCTGGGACTTGCCCTGAGACACTTTGAGAGAGTCTCTGGCTACGACAAACACTGACACACCAGCTCAAGATGACTAATGGTGACGAGGGATGGCTAGGACTGAATGATACATGTAAACAGTCATGAAAAGACATTATTCCTCATCCAGGATCAGGGGGTGCAGCAGAATCTCACAATAGGGAGATGGGAGCTTGGAATGTGTTAATGGGGTTGGTGAGAGGAATGTGATCATTATAGCGAACATACTGGACATGAAAATGTGTTTTTCCAAACATACATCATATCTTACTCTTTTAAAATGTAATATATGTAAACATTTTTTCTTTAACGTGTTCTAAAAATAGTGTGTGAGGTTCTTTTAGGAGTCTATATATTATTTATCTTTCCATTCTTGGCTGGATACCTACTTATTTCAGTGCCTGGCACGTGGCGACTAGCTAACACATATTGATGGAACTGATCTGACATTGTCATCTAACCACCATTGTTACTGACCATATAATATCTCATAGGCTTGTTGTAGTATAATTTACTTAACCCTTTCCCTGTTTTTAGATTTCAGGCTATGTTGATATTTTGCTATTACTTGAAACACTGTGATAGACACCTTTGTGTACAAAAGGCTTTCCATCTTCAAGATGATTTTATTTATGTAGATTAACAAAACAAGTATTCCTGGAATAAAATTTAAATTACAGACATTTTCTCAGGGGTTCCTGGGTCTTAGGAAGAAGGATCAAGGGAGATAAGGAGAGAAGGAAACTTCCTAGTGGAACTTAATGTTTTACATTTTTTAAAAAGAGATTCAGAGGAATCTAATGACATTCTTACAGTCTGCACTACTAAAAATGTTTTCATCTTCATTCTATGGGAAATAAGATAACATAGAAATACACTTAGAGTACTGGCGATGATTTTGTATACCACACCTATAACCATGTATCTGGTCTACCACTATTATGATTCTGGGGAGAAATTGAGCTCTCTTGTGATTCCCTCCCTCTCAAAAGGCAGGAGGCACATATATAAATTAAATCAAATTAGCCTCTCTTCCTAGAAGACACACTCACTGAGGAAACTCTTCTGATGGGTGTGGGGTTACTTTGTCATTCATTGGCCTTGGCCTTGGACCTGTGGACTGGCTTGATGGATGGAAGATTACAGAATGTCTGCCTTGGAGTGATTTGTAGTTGGCTGATACCCAAGGAACTGAGTTGTCATTCTGTTGCTTAATAAGCTCCCTTTCTAGCTTGATGATGCACGGTGGTCACAGTTCATCATCTCCTTTGCCAGGAGATGGGCAATGCAGGGTTCAACTAGGCAGGACCACAGACAGTCTTGTGAAGCTATGTTGGACCTCCTGTAGCTCATTGGTGGGTCAGAGAGAGTTCTTGAAATGTCTCACTGCAGGGGGATTCTCACTCGTGTCCATTCTGCAAAAATTTGAATCTATGCTGGACAATCGGCTCTTCCCCACCCACCATCCACGTTCACTTATTACTCCACTGCAGTGTGCCAGTCAGTGTGCTGGGAGGCACAGGAAAGGCTTCATTCTGAGAATTATTTGCTGATTGGTTGATGAAACATTACTAAGTACTTCCTCTGAGCTGGGAGCTAGAGGAAAAAGGAAAACAGAGGCTCTACCTTCAAAATCTAGCAATCTGGCAATCTGACAGGGGAGCCAAACATGAGAACAGAAAAGAACACTCAAGGAACACTGAGCCTCTGATGACAGAGGCAGACCCAGGGGGACCCAGAGGAGGGAGCGCTTATTTTACTTTTGGTACAGGTGGCAGAAGGGAGCTATAAAATCTCCATCAAGAAAATGACATCCAACTTGAGATTTGAAAGAGGAGTTGGCATTTACTGGGTGGATGGAGAGGAGGAGGTGGATGGCATTGCTGCAGAGTGAGCAGCCTGGTGAAGTTGGGTGGCCTTGGGGTATGGCCGGGGCATGGGAACGATGCAGCAGGGTGATGGTGAGGGCAGGACAAGAGAGAGTGGGATGCTGGGAAGATGGAGGAGGACTTTGTGGGCCTGGCCAGGAGTTGGTGGAGCAGAGACTGGTGGGAGCATGACTGAGCTACACATGTTCTTGTTCCAAGTCAATGAGAACTTCGCAGCAGCCTGTTAGACTCTGGAAAAGAAGAGGGATTCGATGGGTGGGCACCCCCAGAGCCAGTGATGCCAGCTCAGAGCAAGCAGGAGGCCAGGTCCCTGGCTCTGGCTGTGAAGGCTGCAAGAGGAGGGTAGGGAGGGCTGGGTGAGGGGCCCATTCTTGTCTGAGGGTCTGATGGGGTATTCAGAGGCCACAGGTAGGTCCAGGGATGGAGCTCTGTGGGGCCTTTGCTTTGGGAAAATAAAGAGTGGCTCCTTGACTAGACTCCCCCAACCTGGCCAGCCTTCCTGGATTTAAAGGGTCCCTGCAGGTCCCTGACCAGACTACCTCATTGGCAGATTACTGCAGCCTCTTAAAAGGTTACATGTGGACTGAGGACTTGAGTTCAAATTCCAGCTCTATGGCCTACCTGACTTCACGGAGCCTCGGTATCCTTATCTATAGAATGGGACTAGCTGCAAAGTGCCGTGATGACTGAGTGATTAAAGTGTAAGCGGTCAGCAAGGAGACCCAGCCTCGCAGCCTGCGAGGTACTGATGGGGTCCTGGTATCAAAAAGTCAGAAAGAGGCTGGGAGCAGGGCTGACTTCCTGGGGGTCAGCAACAGCTACATCCCTCTGCCTGCCCCACCCACCCAGGAGGGCCTGCTCATGAGCAGCTGGCCAGGCCAGGGCCCTGTCTGGGGGCTGCAGGCTGTGCTGATTGAACCACCTTCTTCTCTAATCAGGCCACTGCTGTGAGTGGAGTAGCTGGGCCTGGGATGCACTTGGCTAATCAGTGTGCATTCTTAGCTGCTGTGGTTGCATATTTTAACTAGGAGATTTCCTCCCCTGGGCTGATTGAGGCACATCCATGTACCAGCCTGGGACAGGGGCTGCCAGGGCAGAGGGCCAGGAAGCAGAAGAGGCAGGCTTGTTTTTAAGGAGTCTAGGCAGTGAAGTGAGTTCCAGGTGAGCAAGATGTTTATCCTCTATAACTCAGGCATCCCACTGACCAAGCACTCTGTTTGGGCCAAGCACTCTGTTTGGGCCTACCTACCTGTAGGTAGAGTGAGCGATAAAGACCAGTTACTTCCCCATCCACTCATTCATCCATTTCTTCTTTTGTCCATCTACCTACCCACCACTCTGATCCATGCATCCTCCCATCTACCCCCTCATCCATCCATCCATCCATCCATTAATAACCTGAGTCCTACCATTCTCTGGACTCTTGTGTGACTAGAGAAGATCTCAGCTTTCCCACCCCCACTCCCACCCAAGGGTCTGTTTCCCGGTGGTGGTTGTGGCTTGTCCCCTCCCACTCCCCAGCTGTTATTGCTTCTCTGAGCCCCTCTAATCCCCCTGGAGCAGTTTGCCCCAAGCCTGGGCAGAGCAGCCCTCCCTTCTCTCCAAGGCCCCCATGACATAACGTTGTCATGGGTAATGGATGCTGTTGAGGATATTCTAAGGACATTGTGGCACCAAGAAGGAAAACTTAAAACTAAACCTCCCGCAGCAGAGTCCACACAGCCATTCTCTACAGCCCACCGTAAGGAGCGCCTCACCTGCCCGTTCCCCCTGGTCCTGGTGCCCACAGGCTGTGGGCAGGGGCTGAGGAGGGAGGGGCTGCTTCTGCTCAGCTCAGGGTCTTTTCTCAGCTCTTTTCTCTCTCTGGGCCCAAGGCCAGGAAACCTCTACCTCCCACCCACCAGGAGTAACAAAACAGAACTAAAGGAAAAACTATCACTTTTCTAGCATGAAAAGTAGGCCTCTGTCCATAGGGCAGACAGTTAATAACTGTTTTATAACTAAGTTTGACACTGAATTTCCTTAACCTATACTTTAGATGAATCCTGGGTCCATGTCTTTATAAAAACCAAGGGGACAGTTCCTACTTTTCTTTTTCTCTCCCAAGAAAAAAGCAGTCT